CCCGGCGCCCCCTGCCCCGGCCCTCCGCGGCCCCCGCGCGCCTTCCGTGGGCTGCGGAGTGAGGGCGCGGCGGAGTCCCTCCAGTGTTGCCTCACGACGCCTTTTTCGGGGCTGCCGAAGTCCGCCTTCCGCGCGCCCTAATTCTGAGGAGGTCGCTTTCCAAGCAACAGGCTTGAGAGCCGTGATCCTCAAACTTGCAGGAATCGAGTGAACTGAGCGTCTGGAGAATTACCCTGGGACGGTTCAGAACCGTTGGGGGATGGCGACTTGGGGTAGTTGGTCCTCGACGAGGCGGACCTGTGAACTTCATCGAGATAAACAGTGTGTGGGAGTCTTGGCCTGGGGACTTTGAATCTTCGCCGCATTCCTATATGGAGTCTACTTCCGGTGTTCCTCCGCGACCACACTTTGAGAAACACGGCGCGAACGATGGTTTGGACAAGTTCAGCCCTCTTAGGAAGATTCTCACCTGGGAGGAGGGTGACATGTTCGAAGTCGAAGCGGGGGATTTGAAGGGGATATTTATTTGAGAGGCTGGTTTTTAAAAATTGCGTCTGATGTGGGGAAGGAATGGGAATAGTTCGTTTTTAAAGGACACTTGAGGAAACTGATGATGTTTCTTTTCTTCCCTTATTTAGATTTTGAGAAAAAGGGGAAAAAAGAAGTTTGCCCTGTCCTGGATCAGTTTCTTTGTCATGTAGCCAAGACTGGAGAAACAATGTGAGTTGAAACCTTTATTGCGTGTTACAGACCTCATTCACAATTGCTTAGGAAAGGGGAGTAAGTGTATGGGAAAGAATAATGCGTCTGTCTAAATAGGCAGAGACCTGCCCTTTAAAGAAGGTGTTGAGTGACCCTGGGGTTCAGAGTGCATACCTGTAATCGCAGCTACTCTTCAGGCTGAGGCAGGAGGATCTCAAGTTGCTGGCCAGCCCGGGGAACTGAGCAAAGCCCTGACTCAAAATAAAAGCACTAGAGATAAGGGTAGTAGAGCATTTGCCCAGTGTATGTGGAAACCCTTCGTTTAGTCTCTAGTACTCTGAGGGGAAAAAGATTAAAGTATGTATACTTTACTTCATGTGAGCTATGCAATGAATTTCTGAAATTTGAGTTCAGAGTTTTCTGTATATCTATGCTTTGGTATACTAAAGAATTTACAAGTCTGGAAATGGAAGGGTAGAATGCATAGTCCATTATGACCCTTTTTGGCTTTAACAAACAGGCTTTTTCTAAGAATTTTGTGGCTTTGATTCTGTGTGTGTTTTGTTGTTTCTCATGTAGTCCTGTCGTCAGTCTTTTGTTTTCATATTTATATATATGAGTGCTTTAAGTGTACTTGTATTGTCTTGAGGACTCAGAGTGGCTATCTGACAAATTCCAGATGCTAAAGTTTTGGCTGTCCTGTAAACTTTCAAGGGTAGCTAACTTGTTACATATGCGCAGTATATTATTAGGCTTGTTTCCAAATGTTGTTAGTCTGAAACTTATATTAAAGTTGAGGCTATTTTCAGAAGGAAAATTCTGGTTCATTATTTGTCATTTGTGTGGTACGAGTTTTTACGCCGACCAAATTAATTTGTAGAGGACAGTACATCTTTGTTTTCATTACAGTCTGATGGGGTGATTGGGAGAAGGAAGGGAAAAGGTTTCTTTGATTTCAGTGTTAAGAGGGCTCCTAGTTTAAGAATGTAGCTTTCAGAACATAATATATAATTTTTTTGTCTTTATCACCAGGTGTTCATTTCTCACAAGATTTGCTTGTGATTATAATCTGGCTTTCAAGTAACTAGTATAATTCTGGGGGGAAAAAAACTTTAGATGCTGTAATGCATGATTTAATGGTCGTATATAAGTTGAACCTCTTTAGTGTTGGATTGAAATACATCAGGCAGCCAGGCAATCCTGAAATTCTAGTTCTTTGGGAAGTTGAGGCAGGAGAAGACCCTGTTTCAAAGAGCTGGGAATGCAGTTCAGTGGTTAGAGTGCTTGCCTAGAATATGTGAGATTCTGGGTTCAATCCCCTATGCATATATGCGTGTGTGTACGTGTATACGTATACATGTATATGTGTGTGTATATATGTGTGTGTGTGTGTGTCTTAGTCACTTTTCTTGTTACTGAGATGCAGTACCTGATACTCATAAACAGGACTGCAGAGGGGTTTGGCAGAAGAGGAGCTGTTCCTGTTGTAACGGTCAAGAAGCAGAGTGCTAAACTGGGTGTGGTGGAGCAAACTTGTTATCCCAGCTCTTGAGGGCAAGTTTGAGGCCACCCTGGGCTACATTTTGAGTTAAAGGTCAGCCTGAGCTACCTGGGTGACCCTGCCTCAAAGAATTAGATCTAATGAGGATGTGGGGAAGGAGGTACGCCTTTTTAGGTCATGGCCCTAGTGACTTTTCTGACCAAACGGGACCTCCTAACAGCAGCTGAGCTATACTATATCCCCATAATTAATCCACCTTCCAAAAATCCCTTTGAGTGCATCAGGCCTCTTGGGAGATACCTAGATAGTAAAAATATAGAGTACATGTCAATATAATGTGACTGTGTTTACTGTTACATTTGCGTTACAATTTGTGTATGTATGTCATTTTGAGACAGGGACTCACTGCAGTTTAGGCTGGCCTTGGCCTTGTAGCCCAGGCTGGCCTCAAACTTACAACGATTCTCCTGCCTCAGCCTCCTAAGTGCTGGGATCGCAGGCATGCACCACCATGCCTGGCTGTGTTACACTTTAAAAATGGAATCCTGTAGTGAAAAATACCATTTTTACCTCAGTTATAAACTTTGTTATGGAACATCTTAGCCAGAACATCTTGATTTTTTAAAATTGATGCAAAGCAACCAATTTATATAGATGGGTAAGTTAAAAATGGCTAGGTACTATCTTTCAAAAAACATAATAATAACTAAAATATAAATGCTTTTCTTGCCATTGTTCCCTTTAATCACTGGTTGGTCCAAACATTTCTTTATAGTATCAGAGGAGAAGCTTCTTTCTTCAGAAAATTTGAGTCATAAGATTATCTCAAACTATTTGGAGATAAATACTTAAAACTTAGTTTATCAGGTGTGCCCTCATTTTGGCAGCACACATACTAAAAAAGTTTATCAGGTTTGTAAAGTGGCCTTTTTGATAAAATACATTGCCTGTGAATGTATAAATGGTTGAAAATTCATGGAAGCTTTTTAACATCTGTCTTCTGGATCACCAGTTGACTGGGGAAATGATCTGACATTTTTTGGTAGTTACTCTGTCCAGATTGAGGACTTACAGTCCTATTTTCCACCCTATATTAGGTGTCTGCATATTTATAAGAATGTTTTATATTGAAATTTAATGTTTATATGTTTGGTATATGTATGTGCAGGGGAATCAAACCCAGGGCCTTGCATATGCTAGGCAGTCAAGCACCCTATTACTGAGCACCTCCCTAGCCCACATAGTTAATTTTCTCATTTTTTTTTTTAATGGTGCTGGGGATTGAACCTCAGTTCTTGTGCATGTTAGGGAAGTGCTTTGTACTACTCCATTGCATTTCTAGCCTAATTTCCTTTTACCATTATGTGTATACATAAACTATTTATTTATTTATTTAGGTCTTTTTGAGACAGGGTTTTGCTATTCAGTTCAGGCTGGTCTTGAGCTCACTTTGTAGCGCAGGCTGGCCTTGAACTTGCAACGATCCTCCTGCCTCAGCCTCCTGAGTGCTGGTCTTACAGGTGTGTGCCACCAGGGCTGGCTTTTTTGTCTTTTTGAGACAGGTATATGCAGTTCATGCTGGCCTTGAACTCACTTTGTAGCCCAGGCTATTGTCACTTGGAAGGATCCTCCTGCCTCACCCTTCCGGAGTACTGGGATTATGGGCGTGCACACCACACCCAGCAGATTATTATTATTGACTGTATTGAGGGTCTAATCCAGGGTCTTGAACATGCTAGGCAAGCATTCTACGACTGAGCTAAATCCTTAGCCCTCTATTGTGGTGTATAACATAAATAAAATGAAACAACTTTTGGGAACATTTTTTTGAGCAATGGTTGTTTTTCTGAAGGTCGTATAGTTCACAACAATGCTGAATAAACAAATGTGTTTGTTTCAGTCATGAATTAAAACATTTAATGGAATTAAAGGTATTTGATGGGCTTAAGTTGCTCTTATTTTTGATAGCCAAATTGTCCTTTTGACTAGTAGTTTTAGGTAGTATCCTTGTTCTCTGGTATAAGAATATGTTACAGCCTCACTTCCTCCAGCCATATTTTAAGAATCCTTGCCTCTTTTAGGGGGGAAGTGATTTTTGACTAATCTGGGTGCTAAACCTTCATATCATGGCTGAGTTGATTGTTTTTAGCTTGTCATTGGGCAGACTAGATAAAATCCTTCATTGAGATTTGTAATTTGATGAGTTGTTAAAAATTATTCCATGTGGATAACATTGGTTCTCAAGGAACACAAGAAATGATAGGCTTAGGATACATGGTAATTATTGTATCTGACGTTACACAACAGAAAGTTACACTCTTATTGTCAAATGAGGCAGTTGATGAATGTTAAACGTTTTTTATATAAATTCACCCAATTCCTAGGAAAAAAGTAATGAGCACGTTACTATAACATTCTGTTTTAGTTATCATTTTTGTTTTAGTTTTGTAGTAGCTTTATATCAAAAGTTAAATGCAGTCCTTACTTATATCAGTGGTCAGTGTCTCTGATCATTTTAGTTAACTAAGGCTCATTCTCTAATGTATGTCTATATATTGTATGTGTGTGCCCACATGTCAGGGGTGGCACCCAGGACTTTAGGTGTGCTAGGCAATGGCTTTGCTACTTAGCTACATCCCCAGCCCTCCCTGATAGTTTCATGAGACAGGCTGCATGGGCACAGTGTTTGTAGGGTTTTTGTATGTATGCCTTGTATATTATCTGTCCTTTATATGTGAAGATCACTTGGATCAGAAGTCTTTGGCTCATATTTTCATCCTAAGTACAGTATGTTTTCTAGTTGTGTTGCATAATTTGGCTTGAATTCTTTTTTGGGGGGGTAATTTCGCTATGTAGTTTAGAGATTACAGGCGTGGACTGCCACACCCAGCCATTCCTTTATTTACTTTGGTCTTTTTTTTTTTTTTTTTTGAGATGGGGGTCTGTCTGTACAGTTCCTTTATTTATTTTGGCCTTTTTTTCTTTTTTGGAACGGGGTCTGTCTATACAGTTTGGCTGGTCTTGAACTCACTTTGTAGCCCAGACCAGCCTCAAACTCAAAAATCCTCCTGCCTCAGCCTCCTGATTGCTGGGATTACAGGCGTGTGCCACCACATCCTTTTTTTAAAGCATTATTGAGGTGTAATTGGCATAGAATATATTACATTCATTGAAAGTATAGTTTGCTAAGTTTTGATAGCTGCACTTATGGAGCCATCACTACAATGAGGAGTGTAACCATGCATTCTTTACTCATGCAAATGTTACCTTTTTATGTATATCCTTTCCTCCAGGCATCTTTGTGTCACCTTAGATTAATTTGCATATACCAGAATTTCCATGTGAAAGGAGCTCTACAGGTGTATTTATTGTCTTTTTTTAGTCAGTATAATTTGAAGTTGGTACGTATTTATGTGGATATCAGCAAATCATTCTTTTTTCTGTGTAGTAGTCCTTGGAAGGATGTGCCTTAGTGTTTTATACTTTTCACTAGTTGGTGGGCATTTGAATTATTTCC